ATATACTTCTAGGTATTCAGAAGCCATTTTATTATTACGCAGTAAGAGCCTGAATAGAGGGATGAGTGCGAATCCCAGTTCATTAATATTCATGGATAAATTATTCCTTTCATTGTCTTTCAGATAAATGAATTGAGATCCAAAAAGGAAAATAAACGCGGATATATTAAAATACCGACAATTTGCGTGTTTTGTTGTATCAGCGTACAATTCAAAAGCGTACTGATGAGCTCAGCGTAAACTTTGTTGGGCTTCGATAAAGAAATATTACGTATTGTTCCGAACCTATCACGTTGCTTTGAAATTCCTACAGAAAAGGAAGACGTTTAAAATCAAACTTAACTTGATATTGAATTGAATAACGAATAAGAAACACAATTTTCTATTTGTTATTACATACTTGTTATTATTGTGAAATAATTATGATCATTGTATACCTAAAAATTAGCAAAAAAATTGCACAGAATATACAAAATACATTTTGATAATAAAACAGAATTTTGCATTAAGTCATTACAGTATAGAGACCAAACTGGGGAATATTTTGAAGTAATGATTGGAACCGTGCCAGCTGCTGAATTTTGATATCGTTCATAGCGACGAAACTCTAAATAGTGTCTTTGCAATATCAGTGGTTGGCATTCCACAAGTGTTCGCTTTTTTGCAACTACCCCTGCGGAAGCAACTGTCGCCAAGTCGTAATGGACAGAAATGCAAATCTTTGACTGTTGAAGACGCTACTTTGAAGGAACCTTCATTGCACTTAGCAACTACGTCATATATTGAAAACGATATCCAAGCGAAAAAAAATGCTATGAACGTAGTTTTTATGAATAATAAACATGCATGAAGGCACTCGTACTGTAATACTTATATGGTGAATTTATTTCAAATAGATTTGCGTACACACGTCGCTTCCAAAATATTCGCGAGAAAGACGCTGTATTCGCGAGTGCGGCAGATGAGTGAGCTCGGTCGGAATTCCGCGGGCCCCCTTTGTGTTCTACTCTTTTGCATTTTTCTACATATTGCTTACAAACATTGCAGGAACGTAAATATTTCTTTGTTCGCGGCCAGGTTTATTATTTGAAATTGTTTATTTTGACGTTATGTCGTGGTTTAAGACAATGTACGAGATCAACTTAGCAGAAGTGCTGAAAGAATTTCTTGCAAACTTTTCATTGTCATGGATTGTTCTGTTGTAACTGACTTTTGAGTAATTTAATTTAAATTTTAATAATCTTCATGGTGAAACAACTTACAAAATATATTACATTTTTTACATACACTAGAATTTGCACGTTCGTAAATTTTGTTTTTAACTTAATGAAGGTTGACTTTAACACGCTACTTTAGAAGAAAAATTAAAAAAAATGGTTACAATAATGAGTGTGTTACCAGAGAGCGGAGGGTGCAAAAGAGCCCAGGATGCCTGTAGACGTAGCGACTAGTGACGTGTATGTCGAGCAAACAGAGCGCTGTGTTCGAGGACGCGGCAAATATCGCTTGAGGAGTACTTGCCTGGATACGATTGCATACACACTCGTCGTGGCCGTTGTAAATATTTTCAGTACTAAATTACGTTTTTATTTCATTCAGTTTTAATACGTTATGTTACAGCATATGTTTATATTTTTAACATAGGTAAGCTATTTAGCTACGGAGTCGCTCATCTATTCAAATATTAATACTAGTAGATAAAACTCTGACTAACCTAACACGTTCCTTAATTCGATAAATTATTAAAACGAAACATAAAAACAAAACTAAAAGATGAAAGTTTTATAAACAAATGCACGCCTGTTTTTTTGGCTAATTTTTAAGTTTGTTTTATTCTCTTAGATGTTAATTTCAAATAGGTCAGATATAAAGGGATCGGAGACGCAGCGAACGTCGAAACAGTTCGCAATCTGATACATCGATTGTGCGCTCGTCCGCCAAATGTGAAGATACAATCAATTATAGAAACCAATTTATCTTCATTCAGGAAACATATGCTCAGTAATGTCCAACGAAAATACCGTTCTTTTCCTAATGTTACTTTTTAAATACTTGATTGATGTGATCGTTAATGTCTAATATGATTATTTATTCTAATTAAATAAATTGTTAATACAAATCACTCGGTAGAAATTCATATTCAACAGTAATGGATTTATAGTTATACTGGATAAAAGTTCTATAGCTATAAAGATTTTTATTAAAGTCTGTGCATTATTGCGAATACAATATAGTAAAAAGCAATATTTTCTTGTCCATGAAAAAGAACGGTGTTAGCTTTCGAGGGCCGTTTCATCTCGTTTTATGTACTCTTTAGACAGATGAATGAAACTTTTTGCTGATTCGCCAGAGGTTTTGCGGAAAAGATGAGAAGGGACGTGTAGCGCAGCCAGTCGGCCTCCATCTCGCGATGAATATTTTGTGATTTCCACTTTTATAGGACAGAGAGGCCTTTTATACTCTTTCATATATTTGTAAAGTTGTTGGTTTTTTATTTTATAGTCATCACACGCTTGTTTTTAACTTGTTAAAGTACTATTTTCATTTCTATGCAGTAATTTTTGCTACAAAGAGAAGATAACATGTATATTGTAGCAATCTCTACATCATAGTACAGCACTATATAAAGAACTTGTTTCGAAGAAAAAATACGATATATTGTATTTATCATTTTTATATAAAGAATGAAATCGTTCAAAACCCTCAGTTCAAATAAATTTAAATTGTAATTCTTTCAATGAGAATACCTATTCAAGCTACATCAGAGAGCATATTAAATTAAGTTTCAATTGGGCGTTGTTGTTCTCAACGAGCTGTGAAAATTGTCCTTTTCAGCTTAATTAATTCATCTTTGTACAACCTCAGTACAATTGAATTGTCGTTATACTGAGTGGACTTTTCCTACTTAATAGTTTGTTCAATGTTGTAAAACATTACACAAATGATAAATTGTGTTGAAATTATACAATTTTTGTTAAGCTTTATGGACTTTGATTCAGGAATAGATAATATACGCTACTGCGATATAGGCTACTTATTGTGTTGTGTGTGAATTATACTTGTTTGTCGTAATATTTGCCTTTCTGTTATTTAATGCCATACTTTCTAATTCAATATTTCTTCTAAATTATTAAAATCTCAAAAAACAAAGAACTACGATAAAACCCTATACATTGAAAAAAATATTTTAAGAAAGAAGATCTATTTCCTTCTACGATTGCATGCCATTAATGGATTTTATAAAGCAGTTTAGTAATCAAGTTTGTTCTTTGTGCCCGTACCTATGTGCGTACAAAGCGGAAGATGTGTGGCGTGGAAAATTGTAAGCTATTTTCATTTTGGAGCAACTATTTTCAGTGCTTACCAGAATGTATTAATTAGTAGGGGTGGGTTGGTTCCTTTATGCGATATTCTGATTAATAAATTACATCATATAAAGAGTCATATGTATGTACTTATTATTGCATAATAATAATTTAAGATTTTAAAAACGTGTGGAGATAAGAATTTTTTGTACATACTCTTCCATTTTTGAAAATGAAAATGTTTCATAGTAGTAAATTTAACACTTAATTAGATCGAGAGATATAAATTATTTGCAATAATTTTATTCACGTATAAGACTGAAATGTGGCATATTTAAATAATAAAAACATAAAATTACTTGACATGTTCGTATGTTAGAGAATAACAGCAGCAGATTTGATTACAAACATCGAATTTTGGAGTTAAAATTAAAATAACGATATCATTTTTATGCGCTCAGATAAAGGCTGGTTTCATGGAAAGTTACATCTAGATCGACTTAGAAATAAACAAAAGGAGATCATTACTTTTTGTATGAGATTCAGGCCCTCCGATTTAGATAACTGTGTCGGTCTTTATTGAAATGCAGTGTAAATTAAGACATCGTCTTTTATTTTAAACTTAATATGATGGCGTCTTCAGTTTTAAAATAAAAGTTTGTGCTATTACATGAAATGATGATATTTTTTTTATAATGTATACTTGATTCGTGGTCATAATAATAATGTGGCCGCGAAAAAAATAATCTCTTTGCGTATGACATTTCAAATTGTCGCAGTTAGGTGTAAAAATGTAAAGCGATGGATTTTTTTTCACGAGAGATTTTCCAGGCGTAAGGAGCTAAAGAGATAGTAGCCCATGGGCATGTGAATTTGGCAACGGTCCAAAGTCTATGGGAAACACTTACACCAAATGTAAAAGGAATTTTACAGATGTGACAACGTCCAGAATTTATTTTCCTGTGACCTATTAAAGCTTATGACCCCGTGACAAAGCAAGTTTATGGGTGCCAAAGAAACATAAAAAAGGTTTATGTGGCTGCAAATACTACTAAGTTATTTTTAAATTGTTAATTTTACAGGATCCTTAGCAATATTTTGGAAGTTGGAAGTAAGCATATTAATATAATGTCAATCAATTAAACATTTTTACAATATAGCAAGTACTATTATGTCTTGGATTTTTTTTATTAAATCATTTGTTTGTGTTTTTTTCAGCGATAATCTGTCCCGACGTGTGAAAAAAAACTGAAGACGAGCAAGCGTGCCTTAAGAGTTGGAGTCGCGACGAATGCGTGTGTGGGCCAATCGCCCCCTTCGGGAGCGTCGGTGGTTTGGGCGGGGTGTATCGATCTCGGAGGGGCGCGTGCGCGGGCGGGGTGGAGCGGGGGCGCTCGGGCACGCGGGGCGCCGGCGGCCTCGCGAGCGCAGCGGCCGCGGCCCGCGCAGTCCGCAGCTGGCCGCCAGCCGAGCGCCTGCTCGCCGCGCGATAACCACACGCTTTCCGATCACCGCATCGTTTGACATTTCAGACGCAGCGCGCGTCAACACCACGACAAACTATAAAGTAACTACTGGAATTGCCTCAGTGCTATGAACTTTTCTTTAATGAATCTAAATGGATTTAAAGACCTTGAAATTATAACGACTTTTAGGTACTTAAATGTTTTTTAATTTTAAATTTTAAATAAAAATAAAAGGATTTTCAAATAATTATGTATAAAAGATGTGGTGTGTTGCGTTGTTTTTGGGAATAAAAACTTAAGTGTTAATATATTGGTAGTGATAAGAGCTGTGACTGAAAACCGAAGCGTTGGAACATTGCTCACGAGTTTACGGCTCGTTAATTCTGCAGATAGTGAAACCGAAAAGAGATCTTTGCTGCGTCCGCTCATCGAAGTGATAAAATTTATGACGTACGGTAAGGGTCGTGCGGAGGCAGGGGATGGATGCGTTATCTTAGAGGTAGCGAGTGTGTAAGCGATGGATGTCTTTATCTTTTGTTGAATATTCGTATTCCTTCTCAGTCACTTTGATTTTGATTTTATTTTCCAATTTTTAGCACACTTCCCAAAATTTATTTTGAATAAACTTTTATTTATTGTTTTATTAGAAGCTCAAAAGTAGAATCATTGTACTTTTGCAACACATCATTATTGCACTTTATTTACTTACAGTTTATTCGAATACATACTTGTTAGAGATTATTGGATTTAATTTGATTACAAAAATGCGATAGAAAACAACTGTAGAGAGCATTGCTGCTGGGTTAAGAACTACGATGCTACAGGGTTACGAGCTACGACGCTACGAGCTACAAAACTACGAGCTTCGACTTGTTATGAAATGAAGTGACATTAATCTTCTTTTTTCAAATGAAAAATAACTACATATATGATTTACTTTAAAATGGATATAACCCCATCAACAGAACTGATTTGATATTTGCATTTGAGAATATTTTTTTTCAAATGAATAAATAAGCAAGAAAGTAATCCTTTGTAAAAATATTACAATTTTGATTAAAGTATCAAAGCCATAAGTATCGTAGTGTTTGTGAAATATGCGAAAATGTCTTACAGATATATAAAAGTCGCACGGTGAGAAGCACATATATAAGGATATGTATAAAATTTATGTTCGTGTCCTATGTCGGAATGAAATGATAGCCTGTGGCGGGCGTCGAATCGCGAAGCCACAGGGGTTGCACATTTTTCACTTTTATTTATGGATTTTGTACGATAATTTATTTTATGACTTTTTGATTTTTTAATCAAAACTTTGACTTCGAGTTCATATATGTTTAACTTTACAAAGTACAAAATTGCAGTTTGAAAATTATGGAGTCAGGTTAAATTATAAAATTATAGATTTTATATTCTTCATATACTAATCGTTGATAAAAATATGAATACATATGCCGACTTCTTTTAGATCTTTAACGTTGTAAGTGGAACTTAAAATGTCTGTGCTTTTAAAGTTCTAAAACTTTTTCGACATAAAGTTTTCCTTTGAAATGTCTAGAAATATATTTTCGCATTTTATTGGTTCAGGTTTTTCGTCTACGTACAATTATAAAGAATATTTTAATTAAAATGTTGTATGCTAGAAGATAAATACATGATAAATTTACACAAATATAAAATACGTATTAGTTAAAAAGTTTATAAGATATTTAGCTTAGAACTTTTATAGGAAGAATAAAAACAAACAGTATACAAAAAGCAAACGTTAGAATATTTTGAGGCTCTTACGGGAAGGCTCTGTACTACAACTGATCTCAGAAAAGCTTGCAAAATTTACTCAGTGATCCTGAGAGTTTATAACATATGTATGTTTTACTACGTTGTGTGTGTTAAATTAGCAGCCATTTCATCAATTATATACTGCATGTTTTTATACGACTTTAAAATTATTTATATCGCATCGTAAATGTTATTGTCATTGAGCTAATTGTTAAATTCTAGGTTTTCAAAAATTCACAATATTGACCATTTGTTTTGTTACATAAACTTTTGTCTTTACTCTGTATGGTTACGGTATCAGTTTGATAAGAATGTTAAACCTAATATAATATAATCTTAGTCAAACTAATAAAATCTATTAAAACGAATAAAATATTGATACTCTTAAAGATAATCTGTGAATCGTAGGGTGATATTTTGCTGAAAATTGATTTTACTGTAAACCCATGTCTTTTATTATCTCCTTGCACGTTGTCAAATCTGAAATTGTGATTTATATATAATCTAAGATAAAAACATGTTAGAAAAACTTATTGTGTATTGGAGAAAGATACCTATATATTTAAATTTGAGCTAAACACACTGATGGAGCTCTCTGTAATATACATAGGCATGTTGAAAGTGTTGTATCGGCGGACTACAGGATATTTTTCCGAATATTAAACTAACAGAATGGGTTATCGTACTGATACGCCTAAGGTTTAAAAGTACGTCTTGGTTTCGCAAAACATCGACACAATAGATACATTTTAATAACAAAGCTTTGACATGTTTTACCTACCATATTTAAATGAAGGAAACGTTAATTTCGCCTAAGAGGTTAAAAATCATCCACAATTTCTTTTCGTGTTCAACAAACGGCCCGGACTTTGATGACGGCAATAAAATTCCACCGTACAATATTCTAATGTAATCGTAGATTGAAATCTTACGATTTCGGAGGGAGACCTACGATTTCTTAAGCAAACTTCGTACAATGGAAAAACCAGCCTCAGAGATAAAATATCTCATTACTTTTTACAACTTTGAGAAATAAAAGAGAGAACGCCCGAGGGAGCTTGAAGTTTTCATCAGTGGAAGCGTCGATGTAGGTATACATATCAAGGCTCTTATCTGCAAACGAAACCCAGAACATTACCCCCAAATAAATCGACTCATGAGGCGGTAAATTTAATTTCGTGTGTAAGTTAGTCGTATATCGCATGCCTTATCTTGAGATTTTACTAGCCTCGTGTAATTTGATATGTTGTTTTATGAAAATTATGCTTTATTAAATTCAGTTCTTATTTTAAAGATTGTAATATCTTAAAGCGAAACATTCAATGCTTTTTTACCTTTTATATCGTAGCTACAAACTTAAAGATGAAATAAAGCGCGTTTTATAAATAATTGTGTGTGTTTTAGGTAAATATGCAACATTTAACGAATCCATTTCCTTTGAATGCTTTGGCAATTTATAAAATGTGAAGGCTAAATGGGATTCGGATAAGCTCGTTATTGGTAATAAAGCTTTATCAGTATTCAGGCCACTTGTTTTAGCATTGAATCTTCGCTCATGGGTTTTCGTTCTGTTATTTTATTCAGGCCGTGTAGCGGACTGTAAGAAGGTGTTAAAGAGTGAATTGCCAAAATAAATGGATGAAAAGAATTCACGAATATGTACATCTGTGTAGTGCAACCCATTCGGTCGCCGTTTGTAGATAAATGATGAATGAGGGTTTGATATCTTTGAACCCCTGAATGTGAATAATGTATTTTAAATATACATAGAAATTGTAACTTTATCCATTTCACATTCTATAATGATTAAAGGTTGAAAAATGTCATGAATTATTTAACGTTAGTCTATTAAATTAATACAATTTAGTCTATTGTAAATCAAAATAATTTTGGCGTTCCAGACTGTTTTTTGTTTTGGATAAAAAAATTACAAGTATATTACTATTACTTTTATATTATAAAGGAAATAGGTTTTGATGTTTCTTTCCCCTAACCTAAAAGTTATTCGTCCAAATATTCTGATCACGTATCTAGTCTGTTTGTTCACATTCGTTGCGACGCCGCCGCACGCAAATAATTGGCTAACTTTTTAAATTATATGAAAAGTACGAGGTAATTCTGCAGTACATTTACTTTTAGTAACTAAAAGTATCTGCTCGTTGTTTTAATATTAATTTTCTCGAACTAATTAGACTTTATTTTGGGTATTGAAGTTAAATTTTGTTTTATAATACAGTATGTTTTATAATACAGTATTGATTTTTTCGTTACAGCAAAATTGTGTAATTTTTGAAATACGAACGCGAGGTATGAATTATAACGCTGAATTAGGCAAGTAGTATTGGCATAGATTCACAAAACGACATTATGCATAATTAATATTCAGTGGTATAAACATGCGTAGGAAATTGCGGAGAACCATAATCGCACGCACCTTACTCGAACCATTTGTCGCCTTTCTATTACATAAATACCAATTACAATTTCAGGCGGTTGTAGCTTGCATTTTCAATTTGTAAAATATAAAATCTAAATGTAAGTCTTACTGTAAAGAACATTCTAAGAGAATCTAAATAATCTTCTTTGAGATGTCCATTTTAAACACCCTGTAAATAGTAACTGAACCACAGTAACTGGACCAAACCAAAAATAATAAAAATGTGTAACATTTTAATTTAATTTGTGTAATGAATAGTTTATAATGGTTTTCGGCTCTTTACAAATTATCATAGTGGACTTTGCCTACGGCTGTGGTTTCATTAAGGGTCCAGTAAAAAGGGACGAATACAAATTGCTTTGATCTATTTAGGTAGATAAGAGAATGTACCTAATCCCTTATGTCTTTTTAACTATTCACGTGAAATTCTTTGTCACGGGAAATTATCTTTTTAGGTATTGAATAGTGCATTGATTTTACAATTTTTAAAACAGTAAAAAAACATTTCGAAAATTTTATTAAGTATGCAAGTAAATCTTTTCATATAATATTATAACCTTCAGTTATGTAATGAGAATTGCCGAAAGTTATATTAAATGCATATGTAGACAGGAATGGTATGCTTTGACAGCTAGGGTAGCAACAGGTGCCTAATGGAATCGCATGAATTATGCACGCCGACAAGGTATTTGGTGATTGTTTCTTGAACTTTACACCTGACCTGTTCACTTCATGTATAGGTAACATCGATTAGCTACGGTTTGTTCGTTTCATTTTGATCTTTCTTGATTAAAATGAATTTATTTATAACATTGTTTGTTATAAAAACTTTAAAGTTATACATTAATTAAATTAAATTGAAAGTTTGAGCTGTTTTTATAATTATTGTAGATAATTGTATTGCACTTTAATAAGGAGAATTATTTAAATTATAATAACAAATTGTTACGATAAATGAAAAATAATTATCAAAAATTATTAGCTAGATGAAATAGTTGGCTTTAAACCATACGATGTTTTATTTTATATAGATGTATGAAAATTATTCAACAATATCCAGATTCCAGTGGCAACGGCTGATCAGTTCTATAAGAATGACTATGCTAGTTTCATATTTATTTCAATGAAACAAATGCTACATTAGATTATTGTAATATTTTTATTCAATAGATTTTATTCTATATTTTTTCACTGGATTCCAAGAGGAGAAAGTACGTAATAAATGTCTGTACGACTTTC